CATACGTGACTTGTCTCACACCTTCTACGGTCAAAAATAAAATGTTACACATAAGATCTGAACTGGGGGCATGTATATGTGGAATATCTTCGTTCAAGTTCCACTTCTATACTCACACCAACGCGTTGATCTGGTTATGGTTCTATTGGCTTAAGCAAAGCTTACGTATCTAAAAAAATTTATAAGAGAATCTCTGTAGTGTCATTTTACTGAACTTGTTTGGGTGTATAACGAAGTTTGATGTGATTCACATGACGTGTAGTCAATCAGTTTTGGCGTTCCACTTCATACAGGACATTTCTTTTTCTTGCTTTCACGATTGCGGGAGTCTAACGTGTATGTGCATCCCTGAAATTGTGCACAAAGACTGGGTCACCGGGATGATAGCACCTCGATAATACCCAAGGAAGGAACATTAGGTTTGCGCCGGTTTACTGCATTACTGCCGTGCATAGATTTACAAAAATATATGTACAATTTGTTCTCCCAGTAACTTGTGATCAGTACCACACTCAGATCCATGCAGTGCACGTGCAGTGTGCACTTCATGCATGTCACGCTGGCGTACGACGACATAGTCGAGCAAGTGGGCATGACCATTCCGTAGGTGCTTCCAACTAGCTATATCACTCGCACCCAGTGTAAACTGTGTGTTAGTGCATCAAGCTATGAGTGGCGCACAGTGAGGGCACCTGGTAACCGTTCCCATTGGCTGTCACAATACCATACGGACCGATTTCGTCTGACCACACCGCGATATCAGGCCCAAGGCGAGCGTTGCAATCACCCAGTAGGGATGATCGACCGCTCCTTGGCACAAACCGTGTCACTGATTGCTACCCGATATTTTCTATCCTTAGGATAATACATGGTTGAGCCTTACGTTTTAATAAAAGTGAAATTTGTTTCCAAGTCACAGGCGGGGAGTTTGCATTCGCTGACTGATGCCAACCGGCTCTGCCACCAGCTGGCCATTTAAACGGTCGGGTGGTGCACATCCAACCCCGTGTTCACGTGGTGCTGTGGCGTTCTCCACCCAGTAAAACGTGTAACCAGCACCAGCTTCATGTAGCTTACCTTGGTCAGCTAGCTAAGTCTCGCTGAGGGCGGCAATGTCGATCCTTTAACACGCGAGTTCCATCGCGGCCAGTGCACTGCGTCGCTCGGGTCGCCCACCCTTGTGCCCGTCGAGTAGTGTGCGCACGTTCCAGCACCCGATGTTAAGCGCTTTGTGCGCGGGGACATACGTTTGTGGTGTCGGAGCATAGTATGTGTCGTGATGACCTGGATTGGAGGAAGTAGTGGGTTAGGTGAAACGCGGACGGGAGAGTACGTGTAAGCGAAGAAGAAAGAAAGGAGGCGTCAGTGGTGGCATGTTTTCACTTATCCACCACGCCGGTTGAAACAGATAACACGACCCTATTTCTAGTGCCGCTGCGCAACGGCCGATGCAGCATGGAATTATTGTTATTGTTATTATTATTGTTATATTATTATTATTATTATTATCATTATTATTGGCATAATTCTCGGTTGGGATTGGACTAGGATACTTCCAGGGCTTCCACACCTGACAGGAAAACGATTCAGGTTCTCAGCCAAAGCTTCCATGAAGTTTACACCCTAAAGACAGCGAGCCATGCGTCATGAGTCAGTGAGCCGACTCACGAGGAACTGTTTGTCCTGGCTCTTATTTAGACGAAGGGTATCACCCAACTCCCACCCAGCGGCCGCCACGAGGATGGGTCCAGGACATGAGTTCAAGGTACAACGGTCCAACGGTCTGTCAGAATCTAGACACCACAAGCCCCAGTGCACCATGGGCTCTCTGGCCAGGCATATGGTTGGTGGCATCCGATTCCGCATTTGACCTGGCTTGCCGAACTACCTCTTCGTGGTACCAGCTTGGTGGTTCGGGGGGTACCCCCTTCCAGCGAAGTGTTCTGCGCCAGTGTTCCACCTCGGTGGGGAATGGTAGTCCAGCAATTGTGCTGGTTTCATGGGGAGTATTGGGCCCCTGTTTGGTGGTCTACCAAACGAATGACGCATGAACTGAACATTCAGTCAGCGACTCCCAATGGGCGCGATTCCCTAAACTCGCCCCGCTGCCTTGCGGGTAGGTTATTTAGCCAAGGCCTCCGGTTGGGGTCTCTTAAGTCAACTCCCCACTTCGGCTTGGGCAACTGGGTAGTTTCACGCCCTCTCACAAAACCATGGACTGTACTACAACCTGCTTATCAACTACCGTTTCTGCTTCTCACATTCACGCGACCATCACACGCCAATTGTTTGTTTGCTAAGAATCCTCACTTTCCGTTACTCGATTTATGTGTTCAACACTCTGGCTGCGATTCCGGTTGCACAATGGACCACGGAGTCAACCTATGACTCTCCTTCCTCCCCGATCGTCGTTCCGTCTGGCGTGCTTCAACGTTCGGACACTCATGCAGATTGGACAGCAAGCCGGTCTAGAGCGCATCCTAGAGTCCCTCGATATTGATGTCTGCTGCTTTTCAGAAACCCGATTGTAAGATCCCAGCACTGTGCTTACATTGACATCCTCCACTGACCACGAAGCCAGATATCACCTGCGTCTTTCTGGAGATCCAGAAGCAGCCTTAGCGGGTTTGGCTGGTGAAGGTGTGGCACTATGTGCCAAGACAGGCGGCACTACTGAACTGGTTCCCGATTAACAGCCGAATGTATGCAGTTCGGCTTCGGAGTTCATGTCGAATCAACAAGCGCAGCGAAGAGAGACGCAACTTGTTTGTGATCTCCGTGTACGCTCCAACTGACTACAGTGGTGGCTCGTCAAGGACGAATTCTACCGGGATCTACGTCAGCTCTTGACTAATGCTAAAAAGTCGGATGTCGTTGTGCTTGCTTGGGATTTTAATGCGCAGGTTGGCCGCCTGTTACCATACGAACGCCACCTTGGTGATCACCACGCGCTCGATGTGAACTGCTTTGATAACGGAGAGAGGCTTCTCACATTGTGCGAAGACAACCATCTTTTTCTCTCGAGCACTAACTTCAGGCACACGAAGAATTGTTTCACAACGTGACGTCTCCCTTCACCAACACAACTAAGGTCTCCAATTGATCACATTGCAGTTAGCTTCAGATGGCGTGACAGCGTACTGGACTGCAGGTCCTCTTGGTCCACCTTTGTTGACTCAGATCATACACTGGTCTGCGCGAAAATCTGCATGTGTTTTGGTAGGTCCCGAAACAGAAAGCACCGCAAGATTGATGTAAACAAATTAACTGATTCCTCTGTCCAGGTGAGCTATCTGTCTTCACTGGCATACGTACTCAGTTGCAATCTACCGCAAGACGTGGAGCAACACTGGACCTGTATAGAGAAAGCGATGACCATTTTCGGACAGTCAAGCTGCGGCCTAGATCGACGCCCTTTAAAGACTTGGATCTCTGCTCGTTCTCTGGAGCTATTCGAACGCCGCAAGGGTGTCCCAGCGGAATCAGATTGAAACGAGCGGGGCCGTTCTGCCAACCGGATGTTGAAGCAAAACCTACGTAAGGATCGCGAGGCATGGTGATCTGAGCGTGCTTTAGAGATGGAGACTGCTGCCCTCTCTGGCAACACTCGTAGGCTTTTCCAACTCATTCGGTCCACTGGCCTCAGGAAGCTTGGTGTCAGTGAGGTCATTTGTGTGGTGGATGAGTATCTGATAACCAACCAACTGAGGCGTATGGACCACTGGACCGAGCACTTTCACTCGCCGTTCGACTGGTCTCCACTGTCCATCAGTACACCTAGTTATCCACTCTGGCTCATCCCATTGAATTCACCCAGCGAAGCGGAAGTCTGACTCGAGACTCGACGCTTGAAGCGGTTCAAGGCTGCCGGCTCAGACGGACTTCTTACGGATGTGTTCAAGTACGGTGGCGTAGTGATTATTAATCAGCTGACCTCACCGTTCGCAAAAATCTGGCATGAAGAGAAAGTGCCTTCCTCTTGGGGCGAATCGGTTATTGTCCCGATTTTCAAGAAAGACCCTCGCGGGATTAGTCTTATTTCGGTTGCCCCCAAGCTTTTGGCATCCATTCTGCTCCGTAGACTATCCCCAATGCTTGAATCATCTCCATCCCGGTCGCGGATGCGGGGATCAAATCTTCACGCTCCGCCAACCCCTCGAACATCGCCACATTTATCACACTCACACTATGGTTGCATTTCTAAACATACGTGCCGCTTTTGACTCCGTTGATCGATCTGCTTTATGACGTTGCTTGCTAAAGAACGGGGTGCCAAAGAAATATACTGCCATCTTACTGATATCTTACGAGCACTTTACCTTCATTTCTCCTGCAGAGTGAGGTTCTATGGCAAGTTTTCCTCGCAATTCGCTGTCGATAGCGGTGTGCGACAGGGACGCCCTATGTCCTCATTCCTCTTTAACTTCGCAATCGAAGAGGTTCCGTCGTGTGCTCTAGAAGGTTTCCAACATTTTTGGCCTAGAGCTTCTACCGGGTGAGCGCGCGACCGACTTAGCTTAAGCTGATGATATCGCCTTACTTGGTGACAATCCTCAGGGTATGCAACTCATTCTGGATCATTTAAGCAACTTGAAATTCCCATTTAGAATTAAAAAGAACACGAGACCATAGGTGAACAATTGTTTTCGATGGTTCTCTTCAGACCCAATGGTCGACGCCGAGAGCCGGCGCATATCGTCTGCGCGAACTGGCCATGACCCGCTTGCATATAGCAACAGCGCCCGAACAGTGGCATTGTAAACGCGACTGTTTACCAAGCGGACGACATTCTGACGACGCCACAAGTACTTCAAGTTGACAAACGTCGACCTGGCCTTGGCGATGTGGAGGGGAACATCCTTACCACTATACTGTGTGACATCAATTCTTACTAGTCATCGTTAGCGTTGCTTGTTACTCTGCTTATCTATTTTTGCCACCTTCTATAGTGTGCTTGGTCACCTGGGTAGTTTAACATTGCCTACTTATTTTCTGTCCAGTTGCCCCTACGCCCACAGGAATGCGGGTGATACGGAAAGGCGATATCACCCACGCTATTTCAAGACTGGAAACTGCATCTATGAAACAACTGAAAATGGCTCTTGCGTCAAAAACGGACTCCACTGCGCATTCGCCCATGGTCCAGATGATATTCGGCTGCCCGTTTACGACATTCGGGAGGTGCAAGATGTTTCGTCCAAGTTTGTTGTCAATTTGCCCGCGAGTCTGGAGAAGGAACGGGTGCTCAGTGAAGATCCAAAATGGAACGGTGAGTAAGCACATTTTGGCTTAGTAAGCATCGGTTTTACCCCAGTTAACAACATAGCGCTAGCATTCTTTACTTGCTTTTCATCGAGGGTGCTAAGGTGTGTGTGTCCCAGAGCATTGATTGTGCATGCTCATTCTTTTGTGATACTTGAAATCATCTCACTTTGTTTTTTCGATCATCTTATTCTTTTCTTTTGCTTTTCTTGACATGTTGCATTTTTCACACACTTGGTCTTTCACTAGGCTTCTGACCACGTGCGACTAGTGACTCCAAAACCTTTGCTTCCAAGGGTTGCTATTCCATTTTTCATTCGCTTACTTTTCGAGATGATGGTGAATTACAATTTAGTTTTCTGAGCGTTTTTGTTATTTCCAAATCGGACACAAGAATTGTCTATCAGACAGTACGTTATGAAGCGTAACCTTTATCCAGGTTATTAAGAGACTTTGTAGCGTATAATCTGATCACCACAAATAATGATGTTCTGGAGTGGAGGTGCCTGATTCTAAACATTGAACGAATTGAACTAGGCTAGTGAGAGTTCAGGGAGCTTGGTGAACATACCTACAAACACACAATCGGTCGCAATTCTTGCTTCTTAAGTCTTTGTTATATACAAGGGTCATTCACTAAATAAGGTGACTTTTTCAGTATATGGACTTGTAATACAGATAGAAGCTTACTTTTTGTTTATTTTTGTTGTTTTACTTCTTTTTCACATAGATGTAATTTCTTTTGCAGATTGAAAAAAACTTTGAGAGTTGTAGCGATTAACAAAGATGGCCGACCAAGAAGCATGCTCCAGGATTAAACAGCGGTCAGTTATCAAGTTTTTGGTTGCTGAAGAGTGCAAACAAGTTGAAATTCCTAGGAGAATGTCAACTGTCTATGGTGCCGCATGTTTCAGCCGAGAAAATGTCTACAAGTGGGCAAAATTGTTTACAGAAGGACGGAGCAGTGTTGAGGATGAAGACAGGCCTGGGAGGCCTACAGAAGTGAGGTCTCCTGAGGTGATCGAATCAGTCAATGACCTCATTCAGTCGGACAGAATGTTGCCAGTGGATGACATGGACGATTTTGTGTGTCGCCCCAACAGATAAGCTCAAAGTCCTTGCAATGTCATCCACTGTCACCATTCTGTCCGACTGAATGAGGTCATTGACTGACTCGATCACCTCAGGAGACCTCACTTCTGTAGGCCTCCCAGGCCTGTCTTCATCCTCAACACTGCTCCGTCCTTCTGTAAACAATTTTGCCCACTTGTAGACATTTTTTCGACTGAAACATGTGGCACCATAGACAGTTGACATTCTCCTATGAATTTCAACTTGTTTGCACTCTTCAGCAACCAAAAACTTGATAACTGACTGCTGTTCTGTCCTGGAGCATGGTTCTTGGTCGGCCATCTTTGTTAATCGCTACAACTCTCAAAGTCTTTTTCAATCTGCAAAAGAAATTACATATATGTGCAAAAGAAGTAAAACAACAAAAATAAACAAAAAGTAAGCTTCTATCTGTATTAGAAGTCCATATACCAAAAAATTCACCTTATTTATTGAATGACCCTCGTACTTCGTCCCATTAACACCTTTCGTCCCTTCGTCATTTCGATCGAATCAGGTGTAATTTACCTCATTTATTCACGTTTTGCAGCTTCCTTTTTCTTATAGTCTAGGAAGTGCACTCAATTTGCAAACGCTAAACTGCTGTTTTTGTGGGTTTGTTACACTTCAGAACATCGAGCCCACCTCGCTCTCCTATGTACATGTGCTGTTATAGTGCATTGTAGAACCAAATTGCGAGAATTTGGTTATATCGTCCAATTATCTTTGCATCTTCTGGCTTTGCGTCACATGTGATGGCTTCGTTCCGTCGTTTATTTGGCACTTTTCCACTCTTTTATAAGTATCAGTGATCTGGCAGCCATCATTGCACTTTACCTATTTCATCTTGTGGCAGAAATGTTCCACGTGTTGGCGTTCTATAAAACGGAGCTGTGTCGGAAACCACCTCGCATGTGCCGACAGGGCTACTCGTGTCCCTTCTATCATAATGGAAAAGACAAGCGAAGATCGCCGGAGAAATGGCGTTACCGGAGTACCCCGTGTCCCACCGTTCGTCCGAATGATGAATGGCAGGACAGCAGTTTGTGCGAGTCAAGGGATTCGTGCCCCTACTGCCACACTCGGACGGAGCAACAGTTTCATCCGGAGGTTAGGACTACTTTTTCCACACGTAGTGCTTTTACTGTGTAGCCCGTAATTCATTTTGCTCTCCCCATCAGACATGTCAAGCTTATCATATGAACTACGCAATCGTCTCTTTTAGCTGTTTACTAATATTCGGCTTCACTCTTTTCAGTGGTTAAATTACTTGATACATCTCACATTGTCTGGAGAATTTATATCGAGGATAACAAAATCGGACAAAAGCGGCGGTACGGCAAACGACGTTTAGGGGGACGAAAAATGTCCCTTACTCGTTACTAGCCATATCGTCTCGTCTTCAGCCTGAAAACCACCAGTTAGCAATAAAGGGAGCACAAAATCAGCAGTAACCCCTAAACTGGTGCGTCGGATGGTTCCTCATCATCCACCGACACGATCGATTCCGTGGACCTCATCTTCGAAGCGGCGGACACAAAACCTTATGACCGTCCACTAATGCATCTGCATGTCACCAGTTGGTCATCCTGGGGCTTCCACCGAGCACGCCGATGGTCACTGAGTGCTCTGCTAACCCAATCCGAAAGCATTTCGGTTCACTTCGTTTATTGATCTCATCCTCTCTCTACGGTGAGTGGCTGTACCCACGAACGTCGCGGATTTTTGGATCAACGTGTGCTGGATACTACTTTTGCCTCAGATTACTGTGTTATCAGCGTTTTATCTGTGTGAATTGTGTACCAATCTTCTTCCTTTGGCGTATTTTCCAAGCGGTGCAAATTTGGCGACTATTCTTTGGCTACTTCCGGAGATCTCATTGATTTGCTCTACTGCCACCTCTGTCCGCCATCTTGGATTTGCTTTAGCTTGTGATGCCGTTTCAAGCTACTTGTGGTTCGTGTTCGAAAGTTGTGTGAAATAAGGCTCATGCACTTCGGTGCTTTGGCTGTGATGTTTTGTTCCATCTTTCGTGCATTGGCTTATCCGTTGACGTGTTTAGAAAAACGCCCGACATCCGACATCGTATTTTTCAAGTTCTGTGTGATAAATGTCGCGGTACAAGACATCAGAATACGCAGAGGTCGCAAATAACTACGGGAAAATCTCTCTTTCAGATAGAAACAAACCGTTCAGTACGTGGGATTAAACGCCCTCGTGGAAGTACCTCTGTGACCTCGCCTTCTATTGTCACTCCGCAATCTGTACCACCACCAGCGTCTTCGACCCCGGCCGAGCCCCAGGTTCAATGTTCCCCACCGATGGAAGACTCAGACTCGGAAGCTACGAAATGCCGCTTCACTGATCGGTCCGTGAATTTCTCAGAGGCTGTCTGTAAACTTCTGAACACCGAGGATCCATGGACCACTCAGAAGCGCAAGGGTCCACGTATTCGACTTCAGACGTCACCTGCTGATAAACAACAATCCAATCAGTTAAGCGCCACTAGTTCTGCTTCCACAGGTTCATCACTGATTTCGTTGAGGCATCATAATCTCATGGTCTTCCCCGTACCGGAGTCAAAAGATGAAAACCCTCAGCTCCGTTATGATCACGATGTTGAGTTCCTCCGGGGGCTAATCGATAGACTTAGATGTGGGCAAAGACAGTGTGACGATTAAACAAGTAATCCGACTTGGCCAGAAAACTAACCAGTCATGTCGATCTCTCAGAATCACCTTTGCAAATCCCAATATGCCGCAACTCATACTGTCTCATCTGTCAAGGTTGAAAGGCATAAAAGTTCACATCCGCCGAGACTTGGAACCCGAAGACAGGGATCGTTTGAAAACTGCGGTCATTGAGCTCAAACGCCGTACAGAGGAAGGTGAGACTGACTTACAAATTGTAAATTTTCGATTGATCAAGAAGGGTGTACGAACCCGTATCAACCTGTTGCTCAACCTCCAGGCACGTCCCGCAGTACCTCCGTGTGGCATCCGCCAACGTGTGCATCCTAATGAACAAACGTGACTAATTGTGCCGCTTCGTTGTCTCGGAGCGGCCGGACATTTTAGGACTTGCAGACACATGGCTGAACTCCGACGTCATACCAAAAGAAGTCGTGTTGTCAGGATACTCTTGTTTCCGATGCGACCGAAAATCAAAGGCTCACGATGGTGTTCTGTTGTACATAAAATCGTCACTATCAGGCAAACTTACCAACACCTATCGGAGCGATGATAGTTTATACGAGCAGTTATGGTGCACAATCCGCCTCAGACGCGCAGAACTAATAGTGGGGGTTATCTACCGGAGCCCATTAAACCGTTGTTGCGATTGGCTACCACATGCACAGAAGCACATGAGCCGCCCTCAGTTCTTACTGATGGGGGATATAAATTTACCTAAAATATTTTGGCCAGACGTTCGACTTCGTCCCGGTCATGGCAACGTTGAGGCACAATTCGCTAAAATGACTATTGAAATCAGGGCAGCGCAACATGTCATCCAACCGACGCGCGTAACTCCGCACTCGGCGTCTTGTATGGACCTAATGTTTACAAGCTGCATGCAGAAGCTGAACGAGATCGGGGTCATCGAACCTCTGGCGAACAGCGACCACTGCTCCATTGTGGCAAGCTTAGAACTGTCGTTATCATAGTACAATCAACGATAGCCGACATTCAACTATTGGAAGACGGACTTCAACTGGCTCGTCCAAGCTGCAAGTCAGACTGATTGGACACTACCACAGGATGCGTCACTTGAGGTCTGTTGGTCATGAATGAAGGGGAAGCTTAACTCGCTCTGTACTCGGTTCGTTCCCCTTAAGTATTCAAAGATCGGACCTATCAAGCCGCATTGGTTTGGTACGGAATATAGACAGTTAGCACGACGGCGTCGCAAACTTTGGGATGGATACATCAGCTCGGGTTGTGATGAAGATTACACGATGTACAAAAAACAGCGTAACTTATGTAACGCCGCAAATATCAAGAAACGCCGACAGTTCGAAGCGGAGCTAGCATCCTCGACCACAACTGCACCCAAAAGAATATTTGCCTACTTGAAACGTCAACTGAAATCTGGGGGCGACCTACCGGTCTTAGAGAGCTTAGGCGGAAAGACGCTCATTTCAAGCGCGGAGCGCGCGGACACCTTGGTTACACACTTCCTCACTGTATTTTCCAGTAAACCAGGGGCGGTTTCAGTACCTGCACAGGTTGCGCCAGTCTTGCTCAACAGCCTACAATGTGATGCAGTTGAAATGTATCAGCTACTCGTAAACCTCGATGGTGCAAAACCCCCCGGACCAGATGGACTTCAATCACTAATACTTAAGACCCTATCGAAGGTCATCTCACCAGCCGTGACAAACCTTTTCAATAAATCGCTCTCTGAAGGATGTGTCCCAAACGACTGGAAATGCTCGATAGTGAGACCGCTTCCCAAGGGTGGTGACCCGAGTAAACTAGAGAACTATAGACCTATCTGTTTGACTTCGGTATTATCCAAAGTGCTCGAGAAGGTTGTGAAAAGTGTCTGCTATCGTTTTTCGAATCGATGGACGTATTGACGCCAGCGCAACACGCCTTTACGAAAGGGTGGTCCTTCATCACCAACTTGATGTACGCAAACCACCAGTGGGTACGAGCTCTCAATGAACAGAAGGATGTTGACGTGGTCTACATCGACTTTAGTAAGGCGTTTGACAGAGTGAACCACGAGGTACTCCTTGGTAAACTGAGGACATACGGAATCAGTGGCACGTTACTTCAGTGGTTACACTAATTTATTGTGGGACGAAAGTTTTTAGAGTACAGGTCAATGACTAGGTGACAGACTGGTTCCCATCGGCTAGTGGCGTGCCTCAAGGAACTGTACTTGGGACAGTATTATTTCTTATTCATATCAACGATCTTCCGCAGCAGCCCCATTCACCATGTGCCCTGTTTGCAGATGATTTGAAAATCTGGAGGATCATTGTGAACCAGGACGACTGCGCTCGCCTCCAACATGACTTAGAGCGACTGTCAACGTGGTCCACAGAAATGCAACTCCCTCTTGACGCAAGCAAGTCGGAGTTCATCAGTATCACCAGACGTCCAGCCACTCGATCACACACCTTGGACGGCCAGTTGCTCCGTCCCAACACATCTGTCAGAGACTTAGGAGTTCTCTCACGACATGATATGAGATCACTAGAAAATACAGAGAAATTGTACCGTGCGGGACTTCGTATGCTCTGGGCATTAAGACGCAGTTTCTCCACATAGTCTGAAGAAACCGTCCCTCGTCTATTCACCTCGCTCATTAGACCAATCCTTGAATATGGTGCCCCATCTTACCATCCGATAACCCAGTGGGAAACTGAAAAGCTGGAAAAAATACGGCATATCGCAACTAGAATGATACCGAGTCTACAACAGCTTCCGTATGAAAAACGTTGTGAAAGACTCGGACTCTACACACTACCCTATCGCCGAGTAAGAATTGACCTTATTATGACCCATCGAGTGCTACACTTAAATCACTTCCCCATACTTCGGCCAATATTTCACCTGCGGGAACCCTGTAACACCCGAGGACACGGTTACAAACTCGGGGTCCCCAACATGAACAAAGTATCACATCAGCTTTGTATCGAACGGAGAATCGTAAACTTATGGAATACACTACCCGAAGGATTAATATAGGTCGATTCCGTAAAGTGTTTTAAAACCCGTATCGATGATTATTTCGGAAAACTGTGCTTTTGTAAAACGATACACATACAATGCCAAAAGAAGACATTGTATGCCCGGAAATAATGACACTAGTACAAATTCCTAACCGAACAAGGATAAACGATTAACGGACCAGACACAACTGCTGACGATTCACAACTAAATGTTTTTGATTTTTCGTAATTCGTTAGAGTTGTACAGAAACCTTTCTACTTGCTCTTAAATACAGTCTCAGTCTTGTTACCGATCCATATCGCGAAGAAGAATACCAGTTTGGGTATTCAGATCCGTTGCACTTCTGTGACCGCAACACAACCGATTAACTGAACAGAATTGCAGTACATGGTTCGCAGCGTGGTTTACTTAGGAAATGATGCCATA